CAGGAAGATAAGCAGGAACAGCCACTGTGCCCGCGGCTGAATTAAATGTGCAGACCCGACGAGCCCGGCGGACCCCCGAGCGTGGGAGACAAGCAAGAGACGCCAATGGGACGCCTGACAGCAACCATCAGAGATAACCGTGGGACACCTGGAGATTAGCATCTTTGTAGAACGAAGGGCGGCAGCATGACACAGCCGTACCCATCCGCTCCAACGGGACCTTGCATGCGTCAAACGGGGGGTTTTTGCCATTAGACTCTGGGTCCGGTCCTGCAAGCCAGGCCTCGGAGAAGCCTCAAAGCCAGTAAGACGGACGTGAGCCACGAGAGACTGGTAACCACGCACCATCTGCAGGACCAATGTGTGTGTGCGCGTCTGTGTGTGTGTGTGCGCGCGTGTGCCTCTCTGTGTGTGTGCGTCTCTCAGTGTGTGTGTGTGTGTGCGTCTGTGTGCACACGTCTCTGTGTGTCCATGCGTGTGTATGCCCGTCTGTGTGCGTGCGTGAGTCTCTGTGTGTACATGTGTGTGTGTGTCTGTGCGTCTGTGTGTGCGTGTATGCGTGCATGTCTGTGTGTGTGTCTGTGTTTGTGTGCGTTTGTGTGTGCGTGCATCTGTGCACGCGGATGTGTGCGCGTGTGCACCTCTGTGTGTCCATCTCTGTGTGTGTGTGCGCGCGCGTCTGTGCACGCACGCATGTGTGTCTGTGTGTGCACATGTGCACCTCTGTATGTGAGCGTGTCTCTGTGTGTGTGTCTCTCTGTTTGTGTGTGTGCGCGCGCGCGTCTCTGAGGTGGAACGAGGTGTACCGGTAGGTCGAATTAGAGATCCTAATTCGAAATACCTCTGTGTGTCCATCTCTGTGTGTGTGTGCGCGCGCGTCTGTGCACGCACGCATGTGTGTCTGTGTGTGCACATGTGCACCTCTGTATGTGAGCGTGTCTCTGTGTGTGTGTCTCTCTGTTTGTGTGTGTGCGCGCGCGCGTCTCTGAGGTGGAACGAGGTGTACCGGTAGGTCGAATTAGAGATCCTAATTCGAAATACCTACTCCGTGCCGCGAGTAGCGGGCACGGAGTTCGGACTAAGGGGGATTTAAAAATGGCGGCACCCGGGAAGATGCAAATGAAGCCCGGGATATTTAAATCCTGGGCTTCATTTGCAACTCCGGTTGCCCTCATTTGCCTACCTAGCTCGAACGAACGAGCTAGTGTAGACGTACCCATAGTGAGTTGCTGCTGCTCCTGTTGCCCTGCCAATAAACGCGGCCCGTTGCCTTTTCCCCTCAAAAACATCCCGGGTGCTGCTGAGAAGCCTCCCAGCGCCACGCCCCGGGCTCGGCCCCGCCCGGTTCAGCTGCCCCGCGCGCCCGGCGGCTTTGGAGACTCACCTTCTGCAGCAGGGCTCCGATAATGGCCGGCCCGTGGCACTGCACCAGGCTCTCCTGGTTCACGGGGTGATGCCGGATAAAGTTCTTGACCAGCAGCAGAAAGGCAGCCACAGGGTTCCTCTCCAGCCTGCTCTCTGCGGGAGGGGACGAGACGGGTCCGCCCGGGACCGGGGCGTAC